GAAGGAGAGGAAGACTTTTGGTGAGATGGAGCGGTGGGAATAAGTGCGCTTGAGATGGCTAGGTTGGCACAGGATAGAACAGCATTTAGAGCTCTTGTACGTAGGGTCACTATGAGTCGCAAGCGACTCGATGGCACATAACAACAACAACAACAACAACAATATTGAACTCCCACAACAGCACTGTAATTCCTTTCTGAACGAAGTTTATTTGTGAAGGAACATCACAACCTTACACTTAGGAACACTAGCTAGCATTTCCATACCATACTTAGGACCATTTTGAATAGTGACGTTACAAACAGCAAGCATAAACCAGTGAAATAGACTGCACCATGCTGATTCTGAGAAGAATGCTCCCAGCATGAGAGCTGAAACCAATCAGAACATTACCTTGTTTGACCTCCACTGGGAAAGTGCACCTTGGTTAACTCAAAGATATTCCACTTTTGCTCGTGTTTGTGAATGACCATGAAAGTGCACGGAGGTTACAAACAAATTTTAGTGAGTAGACAGATTCATAAACATGGAATCCGTGAATAATGGGGATCAAGTGAATATTTAGAATATTTTCCTTTAGGCAGAAAGAACACATTAGCTACTCAGGCAAAGCATGACAAGGACATGAATGAGGTTAGCTGTGCTCTAAATATTTTATATGACCAGATATTGACACAAACCCACACACCCTTCACTATCGCTAACACACATAGCTGTTCTTGGAGACGAAGTCAGGAAATAATTGGAAGTGACCACAGCAATGTTATTGGCTACATTTCCAACTCATTCCTACACTTAATAAGAGGTAGACAACAGCAAAAAGGAAAATGTCTAAGATGTCTCAGTAGATTAATGGTATTAGTTAAGTGCTGAGAAAATTTATGTTTATATCTCTAATATAATTTTGATTACTTACTACAAAATTAATTAATCTAATTGGAAAATTGATAATAATTATGAAAACATCAGTAATTATCATGAAAGCAACAGTAACTACTAACAGTCTTTTATTAAATTGCAGTTTATTTTCTTATTTATTTATATAAGGGAAAAAGTAGTTGAAACCACGTAACCATTTCAAGACCAAATTACCTCCTAATTTGAATTTTTATTGAAACCATATGTTTTCAGCAAAGTATGGTATTTTGAATATTTATTTTTTTTTTAAGAAGGGATACTAAGCATTATGATACAAATAGTGGGGCATATGTGTCCCAAAGGACCTTTGGTCCTAGAGTTTGTGGGATAAGACCTATTCTTCAGATTCATGCAGTGGTATAGGTCTCCAACAGGTGGCAATACACCCGAAAAGTGGCAGAAACAAATTCTAGAGGTTGTGAGTGGGCCCTGGGCATCCCATGGATCACAACAGGGTTAAAAAGTGAAAATACAACACAGCCTAATTATTATTGCCTTAACATAACATATATAACATAACATAACATAACATAACATAACATAACATAACATAACAAACGTAACATCCAAAGTTAGTGATAGACATGAATGATAAGAGTCATCCAGAGCTGAAAGTTGAGAAGAGGGGAATGCAACTTTAGGATAGGGGACCAACACTGTGACTTGATGATAGGAGGTGTCACAAGCAACACAGGCAGAGTCAAATCAAGGGATGGAGAGCATCCAGGGCAATGAGGCTGGGGACTGTCAACAGCCTGGAGACTGCAGGGGTGTGTGTGTGACAGAATGACAATCGCTTTCATACCACCTGCTGTGCAGTGACCAGTATAAACTATACAATAAAACATCATCAGATTAAGTTGGTTTTTGCTTTGCTTCTCATCTACCCCACCTTGCTCCAGTTACAACAGTAAAACAATCTGATTGAAAAATATACAGAAACCTGGGGCGTGGGCAGGGAGAAAAGTGAATGAAAAAGTGAATGGAAATCCAAAATCTCTGCAAAATCTCATTAAAATAAATAAAAATTATAAAAAAATCCAGAAACCACTAAAATAAAGAATTGAAGTCTATACCTCTCTATGTAATGAGAATCACCATTAGTAATTAATGATACTTATTAACACTGGCGTTACAAGAGTAAGACTCCAGTATTGGATCCTTAGAACTAGGAAGAGAAATACTTCCTATTTTCATAACATCCATGCTTTATATGAGAGATCATGATCTAAGATTTCATTTACTATTGAGGAGGCTTTTCTCCCTACAACTTGTGGTGCTGTTGGAAAGTCACAGTTGAGATACTGAACTGCTTCTCCCATCTTACTTGGTAAAAGCTCACTCCTAGGACCTGGAAATCTTTACAGTACAGAGATTGTGAAGGGTATTAACTTTTCAGATAGCTGGGACAGCTTGTTTAGTGTCAGAACAAATGGTTAAAAGACACCAGAAACTCCCCAGAGCCCATCTTCAGGATCATATAGGTCCAGGTACTTGGTGGCTCTGCTTTCTAAAAACATTATTTAGGAACTGGGTAGACGAGATTGCCTGTAGTATAGAAAAAAGCAAATCCATGTTACTGTGCCCTGAAAAAGCCAGAAAGAACCGCATAGCTATTGCACCTTGTTTAAGATATAGTGTTGGCTCACTAACACTGAATTCACAGCTAATTACAGAGTAGTATCCCATTACTTTATGCCTGGACAGAGCTTATTGAATATACGTATTGTTGCTGCTCATGTGTGCACCACTGAGTTGGAACTGACTCATAGCTGACCCTCTAGTGGATTTTCAAAGGCAGTAAATTGCACAAGAGGAGACTGCCCATCCTCCATGGAGCAGCCGGTGGATTAGAACCATGAGCCTTTGGGACTGTAGTGCAGCTTATTGAGTAAGTGAAGGGCAATAAAAGAATGTCCAATTTCTATTAGCATTTCAAGTACCTAAGGATCAGGACAGTAAGTTATAATTTCCTCTATAATTGTCAAGGGTGAAGGGAAATGAAGCAGGCTCTTCAGTTGACTTATGCTGAGGATAAACCATACTGTTTGTGCACACTCCAGCACTTTGAATTTATTGATGGGCAGAAGTAGGCACTGAGAACCTGGGGGAAAATGGAGAGACTTGTCTATTTCCTACTTTCCAGCCCCAAATGACAGATGACTATGAAGGCTAAAAAAAAAAAAATTAAAATCCCCCTCATTGCCATCAAGATGAGACCCATCTGTAGGTTTTTGGGGGGCTGTAAACCACATGGGAGGAGACTGTCCACCTTTCTTCGATCACGCTGCTGGTGGATTCAAACTACCAGAGAGGCACAGCCCTTGCATTAGTGGAGTAACTCTCTATGGACTAACCATCCGGGCTCTCACTACGGTGGCTGGAAGATAGGAAATCAGGAGGGGTGGTAATTTTAATTCTCAAAGGAGCCTGATAATAGGAGAATTATGTTTGGAGGTGAATTGAGGGGATGCTTCCATGGCATGATGACTGTAATTATTGCCACTGAATTGTACTTGTAAACAAATGTTGCAACAGTAAATATTTTGTTATATATATTTACATATACACATGTTGTTGTTGTTGTTATGTGCCGTCAAGTCGCTTGCGACTCATAGCGACCCTATGTACAACAGCCCTAAACTCTGCTCTCTCCTGTGCCAATCTCACTGTCTCCGACACACCCATCCTGATTACCCTAGTCACTGAATCAATCCACCTGCCTCATGTGTATGTGTGTGTGTAAATACACACACACACACACACACACACACACACACACACATATATATACACATACATATATGTAGACATGTTGTTGTTACCTGCCGTCGACTCCTGCGGGAGGGGAAGGCCCTCTAGGAGGTGGATTGATTTGGTATATATATGTAAATATATATGTATATATATGTGTAAATATATATATGTATATGCATATATATATATTTACACACACACATACACATGAGGCAGGAAGAGAAAGAATGACAGAGAATAAGGATTACAAAGTAAAGGTCAAGCAAAATTTCAAATGAGTTGTTGATATTGTACATCAAGTCAGAAGGGACACAGCTAACCCTCCAGTGGGTTTTCAGAATCTCATGGGGGGAGATTGGCCATCATTCTCCTGCTGAGCAGCTGATGCCTTTGGGATTGCAGCAGAGCTTCTAACCACTGAGCCACCAGTAGTGGATAAATGAATAGTAGTAGTATGTGGAGGGCAAAAGACAGACCTATGACCTTCTGAGATAAACCGTAATGAAGGAAGCAGCCGGTGTGGCTAAAGAAGTATATTTATTTTAACCTTGGTGAAGAGTTTTCAAGAAGAATTCAAGAGGAGACTTCAGGGATTTCGGTGTGACAAGGAGGTGAGAATTAGATAATGGATGGATGACTAAGGGAATAGATTTCCCAGAAGAATATTAAAATAAAACAGAATCTCCTCTAGCCCAGTCCTGGCTGACGGTGGGGGGAATGTGCTGGATAACTAAAGTAAGAGCTTGCCTGTATAGTTCTTAGCAATTTTTCAGATTTGCATTCTTCCAGCTGACATGACTTCATTTGACTCCCTGGAGCTCTGAATGGCAGGGCGGAGCCAGAGTGATTTCAGCAATGAGGAAATTGAGAGACAAAGGTTAGGGTCCAGTTGGGAAGAGCGAGTTGGAGGAAGGAAGGCAGACCCCAGAGAGTTTTGAAGTTCAGAGGGAAAAAGGATTTTTTTTCTCTTCCTCTCCAGGTACACTTGATTACTCACTGTTAAGTAGGCGGAAGTCAATGAATGGGTAGGAGCCGCGGCGTTCAGCAGGAACCCCTGTCTGACCCCTTAGTCGTACATCTCCTAGAAAACAGAAAATCCAAACAAATGTTTGAAAACATTGCCAAGTGTGCTCACTTTTCTTCCACAAATCCTCCTAACTGGTTATGTTAGTGGAACCAACACCAGATGTCAAGAGCAAAATGATTTCCAGGCAGTGTAGTTAAGAGAAGACAACATGGGAAGGGCTGTTTAATAAATGCCTGTGTAATGAAATAGGCAAAACTGTAACAAATGAAGCAGAGCTCTAGCTTATATTTGCTTGAAAGATGGGTCTGGGAAAATTTTAGTAGTTATAAAGTTCCCATAGTGTTGTGTTTTTCTAGTTTGAAATACTTCCCAGGGTCATGAAGCGTCTTAATCTGGAAAGATAAATGGTGTGCTGGGATTATCACTCTTGTGTGCCTTAGAGTCTATTTCTACTCATAGCAGCCCTGGATGAGGGAGGAGCACTACCCCACAGGATTTTCTAGGTTGTACATTTCACAAGGTGCACATTTTCTCCCACAGAGCAGCTGCTGAGTTTGAACCACTGACCTTTGGCTAAAATTTTAGTGTATAACAATTGAGACACCAGGTTTCCCTGTAGCTCTTATGCTTATTAGAGCATTTGAGTCACCGACAGTGCCTTTTCCTTTGCTTTCAGCAGAATTATTTCCCGACTGGTATCTACCTCCTCTGTTTCCTAGGTTCCATTCCTGGTCTGCTTTAGAATCAGTTGAGAATGTGTCTCTATCCTTCATCTCCAGAGGCAGCTCATTCTAGGCCCAAGTGCTTCAAATATCTTAGTCATTCTTGTCTCTGGAATAGCCTGTAATGTTACTGTGATTTATTTATTTGTTGTTAGGTCCTGTCAAGTCAACTGTGACTCATAGTTACCCCAAAAACAACAGATTGTAACCTTGCCTTATCCTGTGCCACCGTCACAATTTCCAACATGTTCAAGCCCCTTTTTACAGTCATTGCATCTATCTAGCTTGTTGAGACAAAGTTTCACCATCCTTGTTTCTAAGGAGCATGGTGATTGTACTTTTCTCTAAGGCTGATTTGTTTGTTTTAAATACTCTTCACAAATACCTGTTTGTAGACTTCCTTTAATGTCTACATATGGTTCTCTTTTTAATATGTTGGCCACTTTCCCAGCTAAGGAAGTAACTCAATGAAGTGGAAATAGCCTGGCGCTTCAATAAGGTAGACATAGTGTAAATCTAAAGGAGCCTCAGGATGGGGCAAATAGTTAAGAACTTGGTCACGAATGTAAAGGTTGGTAGTTCAAATCTATCTAGAGGCATCTTTGAAAAAAGGCTTGCTGATCTTCTTCTAAAAGGTCATACACATTGAAAACTTTATGGAGCCTACTTAGATTCAGAAACATGGGGCAGCTTTGAGTAGGAATCGACTTGTCATAGACTCCTGGCTTGGGTGTGTTGTGTATTTGTTGTTACTTATAGGATATTGAGAAATTTATTTCTCTAGATCTGACTTGACTCTTTTATAAAATGAAGTTAAGATCTACTTCAAAGGGTCATTGTTGGAAGATCTGAAACAAGTTCCAATGCCCAACAATTACATTTCTGCAGAGCAAAAATTGTGCACACTATGATTTTGCATTTCTGGATGGAGCTTTATGTGCTGTTTTTCCTTGTGAACAAGAGTATATATAAAGACCAAATTCATAAGAGATTTCATATAATCATATAATTACCTATAAAATTGAAGAGAGGAAGAAGTATATTTCTGGAACAACTCAATCAGGGAAGCTCAGTTCCAAAAATAATGAATCTAATCTCATAAACTCTTTTCCCCAGATTGGAGGCGGTAGTGGACCCCCAAATAGAAATGAAGAAAGGAATACTCTTTTCTTTTCCTCACCTAACTAAAAAATCCAAAGTATTGCATTTTATATTGGTGAATTATTTAATTCTCCCTGTATTTTGTATAGCCTATTATAATATTGTCATATTGCCATTAAGGTATGTAACCAATTTATGACATGCAAAAGTTTGAGCAAAATTGGGGAGGGGAGGGAAGAAATGGAGAAGTACGTGGAAAGATATCCACAAGTGTATTCTGACATTGAAGAAAGGAATGCCTTGAGCACAGACAACTTTCTGGGGCTGGTTGTCCCATAGGCAGTGGGATGTAATGGGAGGAGTTGAAGACTTTTTCTGTCTGTGGTAGATGTCATGAACACTCTATGCTAAGAATGTTCTAAAAAGTTTGCAAAGCGTTTTCATGAACATCACTGTTTATTTATATTCTTGTTTTCTCTCATTGCACCTTCACAATAGCCTCATAAGGAAGACCTCTACTAAAGTCACTTTACATGTGAGAAAGTGGAAGCTCAGAGGATAGTGGCTGCAGAGGGCTGCTGGTCAACTCAACAGCTCCACTTAAGGAGTCAAGGCTTTTAAATGCACCCCATAAATATCCATTGATTCAAATCAAGCTGTAGATTTTATGGTGCTTCAAGTTTATAACTAGCGGAGCTTGCATCTGCATCTGGGGTTCTTGGGTGGTACAGATTGTTAAAGTTTCAGCCTCTAACTGAGAGGCTGGAGTTAAAGTTCATGCTGAGGCACCTCATAAGAGGCATGTGGGGATCCTGCTTCCCACTCCCCCCCAAATTAGCCATTGAAAACTGTACAGTTCTACTCTGACACACAGAGTGTCAGCAGGAGTCAGAATGGACTGTGTGGCAACTGGTGAGCCCTGATACCTAGATTGTTAGATTTCCTCGGCACAGCTTTTGCCCTGTTGCCAGAGACTGTTAGTCTTTATGGAAAGTGCAGACTTAATGTTAAAATATTGATCTGATTGCAGCTCATGACTGTGACCTTTATTTTATATTATCAGAATAAACAATAAGCATAAGGGGTTGTTCCCCTCCCTCCAATGAATTCTTTGATTGATGTTTACCAGCAATCACAGTGTCTGTGAACTACCCAGACACTGCCATCAAGTCAATTCTGACTCACAGTGATCCTGCAGGGCTGAGTAGAGCTGCCCTCAAGGGTTTTCAAAACTCTAAAACTGTTTACAATCTGGCTGCTCCTTTCCTCCTGTGGGGTGGCGAATAGGTTTGAACGATCAACTTTTCAGTGTGTAATCCAATGCTTAATCCTTTGAACCACCAGAGCTTCTGTTTGCCAATAAGCCAAACATAAATCCATCATGATTCCTGGAAACTGAATTTTGGTAAACTTCCCTTGCCCCCTATTTGATGAATCTGAGGTTCAATCAGATTGTTAGTGTTTATTCACTGGATTTGGGCTGCTTAACCAAGACAAGCAAATCCTTTTCTGGATCAACAAGCTATTTATTACTTTCAACTAAGAAATAGAAAGCAATTATTTAAAAGAAATTATTCAGCAAGCTAAAATTACCTAGCAACTAATTTACACAAACTTTCAATCAAGCAGAATTTTGATGGTTCATCTCAATTTTGGGAAAGAAATAACAAATAGCAATGAAGCAAGATGATGGTCAAGACACCTAACCAACTGCAACAAACAAACGAGCACCAACAAACTTCACAATCACATCTTAAAGATTTGGTATCAATGCTTCCAATACCTGTCTTAGAGGCTGATTATTCATAAGGAAAGTTGTGTTCCCCAAAATATGTACTGTAAATCTTAACATTTGTATTTATAATCCTATTTGGAAATGTTTTTGTTTTGCTTCTGAGGTATAGGAGTGTCTAATCTTGTTTAGGTTTCAAAGACGTAGAGGAAGAGAATTACCAAGTCACATAAAGAGGGTTTACACAAGGAGATACCATCTCACTCCAGTAGCAGTGGCAACGTTTAGTTGGACAGCAAACAATAAATGTTGAGAGGATGTGGAGAGATAGGCACTCTCATACACTGTTGGTGGGATTGCAAAATGGTACAACCACTCTGGAAGGTAGTTTGGTGTGTCCTCCAAAAACTGAACATAGAAATTCCATATGATTTAGCTGTTCCACTTGTAGGAATATGTTGTTGTTGTTGTTATGTGCCGTCGAGTCGTTTGCGACTCATAGCGACCCTATGCACAACAGCCCTAAACCCTGCTCTATCCTGCGCCAACCGCATCGCCACTGACACACCCATCCCAATTACCCCAGTCACCGAATCAATCCATCTCATAGAGGGTCTTCCCCTCCTGCGCTGTCCCTCCACCCTCCCAAGCATGATGTCCCTATCCAAGGACCCATCCCTCCTGGCAACATGTCCAAAGTATGTCAGACGAAGCCCCAGAGTCCTAGCCTCCAAGGAGTAGCTTGGTTTAATCCACTCCAAGATGAATCTGTTTGTTTTCCTGGCAGTCCAGGGTACATTCAGTACTCTTCTCCAGCACCACAGCTCAAAAGCATCCACTCTCCTTCTGTCCTCCCTAGTCATTGTCCAACTCTCTGATGCATAACAAGCGATTGCAAAGACCCTGGCCTGTATCAGGCGCACCTTAGTCTCCAGAGAGACACTGTTGCTCCTGAGTACTTTAGAGAGGTCCCTAACAGCAGACTTTCCCATCGCGATATGCTTTTTGATTTCCTGACTGCTGGTGCCAAGAGTGTTGACTGTGGAGCCGAGCAAACTGAAGCTGTGAACAATCTCAGTCTCTTCGCCATCCATCCTGACGCTGCCAATTGGTCCAGTGGTGAGAATCTTTGTCTTCTTGACATTGAGCCTCAGTCCATACTGAAGGCTGCAGTCCTTGACCCTTCGCAGCAAGTGCATGAGGTCCTCCTCAGTTTCAGCAAGCAGGGTTGTGTCATCTGCATAACACAGATTGTTAATAGATCTTCCACCAATCCTGATGCCACAATTCTCCTCATAGAGCCCAGCCTCTCAGATAATCTGCTCTGCATACATGTTGAAAAGGTATGGAGACAGGATGCATCCCTGGCATACACCCTTCCCAATTTTGAACCATGCAGTGTTACCCTGATCTGTTCTGACTACTGCCTCTTGGTCCAAGTATAGGTTTCGCATTGTTGTTGTTGTTGTTATATGCCATCGAATCGTTTCCGACTCATA